TAGATGCATCACTCCCCTCTTTGCCTCCATTGTCACGTAGCCATTTTCTCTCTATGAAGATTATATGTGTCTTCACATAATCTTCTCTCTGTGCTGTCTATGTCCAAATTTCCCCCTTTTTATCAGGACACCAGTAGTATTGGATTGGAACCCATTCTAATAACCTGATCTCAACTTAGATGAATTTGTGAAGACCCTATTTCCAAATAAGGTCACATTCTGAGATTCTGGGGGTTAGAAATTCAGCATATCTTTTTTTGGAGGACACAATTTAACCCATCATGCCCAGTCCTGCATTCTTTGGTTCTTGTACAATGAACTCTTTAGTGTAAATTATGGAAAGTTGTAAGTGCAGGATTGAGACATTTGTACTTCATCCACTAGGCATCAATGAGTCACTGATGGCTTCTGAACAAAGGAGTGACATGCTGTTAGTGTCATTTTAACAACATTAACATGGAAATAGTGTACATGATGGATTGGCTCATGATGGAAGCTAGTTATTAAGACCATGAGAAATCTCCTGAGCCTAGCGCCCAATTGCAATCACTGCCTGCTGCTGAGCTCAGCCTTTTGTTCGGTACAGAGCACACATCTCACACCAGAAAGGCCTATAATCCTAAGGCAGTATGTGGACATCCTTTCCAGCAATCAGAGCTCATCCTAGTTGATCTGCTGCTAAAGGGTACTGCTCTGTCTACCCTCTTGTGAAAGACTTTCTTATCAAATAGTAGGTAAGAATTCAATTTCTTACCTATTTCCTCATGCTCAATCCATGTCTTAGTCTGTTCTGTGCTACTATAACAGAATACCACAAGCTGGATAATCTATAATGAACAGACATTGATGTGGCTCATGGCTGTTGAGGTTTTGAAGTCCAAGAGCATGGTGCTGGCATTTGATGAGAGCCTTCTTGCCCTATCATAACATGGTTGAAAGTATCCACAAGGGTGGGAGAGAGCATTTGAGGGAGGAAAAGGGGTCAAACTTCCTTTTATAACGAGCTCACTCTTGTGATTCTAAACCCACTCCCATGAAAATAACATTAATCCCTTCATGAAGGAAGAGCCTTCATGACCTAATCAGCTCTTAAAACCACCCCACCTCTCAAAACTATCACATAAGGAATTAAATTTCCAGCACATGAACTTTGAGGGACATATTCTTTTTCTTTTTATTTTTTAGATGGAGTCTTGCTCTTGTCACACAGGTTGGAGTGCAGTGACGTGATCTCCGCTCACTGCAACCTCTGCCTCCTGGGTTCAAGCAATTCTTGTACCTCAGCCTCCTAAGTAGCTGGGATTACAGGCACGTGCCACCATGCCCAGTTAGTTTTTGTACTTTTTTAGTAGAGATGGGGTTTCACCATGTTGGCCAGGCTGGTCGTGAACTCCTGATCTCAAGTGATATGCCCACCTTGGCCTCCCAAAGTGCTGGGATTATAGGCGTGAGCCACCGTGCCTGAAGGAGGGACATATTCCAAGCATAGAGCCCACATGCTTATTTCTTCCTGCCTGTCTTAAATCTTTGAGTGTCAATGTTCCCTTCTCTCCCCTAATACACGTTCCCATGTGTATACCCAACCATACTGCAACTTGGGCTGCATCTGATTTCTAATTGGGGCATACTTTCTTCTTGCCTTCATGGTCTTTGAGATTACTTTACATTCTTCTCCTCAGTCGGATTCCTTTGACTTTGATCTTGGCATTTGACTTTGATCTCAAGATTAAAACTCTTAGTTATGAGCAAATTATAGGTTGGGGTTAGCATCTGCTTGCCATGGTTTCTGGCTTATGTATTACCTTAGCCATTTTTTCTTGACAACATAACTCTTGAGTTTTCACTCTGTGAAGGGGTTTTATTTCCTGGCTCCCTGAAAATTAGCAGTCAGGAAAGTCTTAGAGTATTGACAGAGGAGGGGAGGATGAGGTTAAAATACCCAGTACCTAATATTTGAGCATCTTAGCCCATTCTATTCCTTTTTCTTAAGAGAATCTGCCCTATTTATGGCTTAAGAGCTTTAGCCTTGAAGCCTGATCTCTGATGTCAGCTGCTTGAACAAGGAATGGCCACCCAGCCAAGACTGACTATAAAAGACAGTTTCTTCCTCCAAATTTAGAGTGATACTGAGACTGGATTAATTAACTGGAGTGAAGCTCAAACTTCACTTCACAGACTCAAGGTTTAAGGCTGCCGTTTTGGACTATCTATGATGGGTTACCTGTAAGTGTGTTGAACATATGAGTCCCTCCTCAAAGGATAGAGAATGAGATGTGCATTCATTCACTTGACAAATATTGACTGAGAACCTACTAAAATGCCATCGTCTGTTTTAGGCTTTGAAATTATGAGAGGGGAATGGCCTAACCTCCCAGAATGTGCTTAATTGAGGTGAGAGGAAGAAAATAAATAAATAACACAATCTGAAATTATGTTACAGAGTTAAAGGCAATGAAGAAAGGGTAAGAGAATAAGGAGATAGAGACTAGGTAGGAACTGGGGGCAGGGGACCTTGCTACTTTAGACAGAATAGCTGCAGAAGATATCTATTAGAAGTTACTACTTGAATAGAAACTTAAATAAAATGAGAGAGTGAGCCACAGGGCTATCTGGGGAAAAGACATTGCAGGCAGAGGGAGCAGGTGCAGATCCATGGGATGTGAGCATATGTAGCGGGACAAGAAAGCTTATGTGGCTATAAAAGTGAGAGAGAGGGAGAGAGTTATAAGTTCTGAGACATAAGCAGTGGCCAGATCAGAAGGTCACTGTCATCATGGTGATTTTATTTAAAGCATGATGGAAAACCATGGAATAACATGACCAGATTTATATAGATGTGATTTTTGTTTGTTTGTTTGTTTGTTTTTCTTGAGACAGAGTCTCAGTCTGTCACCCAGGCTGGAGTGCAGTGGGGCAATCTCGGTTCACTGCATCCTCTTCCTCCCAGGTTCAAGCGATTCTTCTGCCTCACCCTCCTGAGTAGCTGAGATTACAGGTGCATGACACCATGCCCAGCTGATTTTTATATATATTTTTTTAGTAGAGATGGGATTTCACCAGGATGGCCAGGCTGGTCTCGAACTCCTGGCCTCAAGGGATCTGCTCGCCTCGGCCTCCCAAAGTGCTGGGATTGCAGGTGTGAGCCACTGTGCCTAGCCCAGATTTATATTTTAAAAGGATCACTCTTGCTATTATGTGAAGGACAAATGATAAGAGGGGAGTGAAAGAAAGGAGGAGGGAGAGAGAAGAAAGAGTTGACTACTTGTCTACATTATAAGTCCTGTAAGTCTTCACTCAGTCTTCTCTGGTCTGAGAAGTTCTTGTGCATGCTTAGGACATATAATTCCTTACTTGGTTAAATTAAGTGGATTTCTATTTTTTTTTTAACAACCAAATTGCTCTCTGATTAGGACACTCCCAAGACCCTGAAGTATGGTGAGATAATACATGAGAAGAGGAGGGGATGACTATAAGACACCATGGTGATATATTCATAGGGCCTAATTATGTACTATTTTCAGTGGGTGCTGAAAACATAATTTGATTTATGGAAAGACTCATTCTACAACAGTAGTCTCAACTGAGGACAATTGTGCCCTCCAGAAAACATTTGGCAATGTCTGGAGACATGTTTTGATCGGGAGGAGGGTACTGCTGGCATCTAGTGGGTAGAGGCTAAAGATGCTGCTAACCATCCTGCAATGCCCAGGACAGACTCTCACAACAAAAATTTTCATCTCCAATAGTCAATAGTACTGAGGCTGAGAAACACTTCTCTAGAATATTGTGGAAGCAAACAGAATGCACTCAGACACAAGCATGATTATTTGTCAGCGGGGCTTCTTGGACCTTTGAGATATCTCCTCTAAGTTGAAGGAAGGACAAAGGATAATGAAAACTATACTTACTGGCTGGGTGCAGTGACTCATGCCTGTAATCCTAGCACTTTGAAAGGCCGAGGTGGGTGGATCACTTGAGGTCAGGAGTTTGAGACCAACCTGGCCAACATGGTGAAACCCTGTCTCTACTAAAAATACAAAACTTAGCTGGGTGTGGTGGTGTGTGCCTGTCATTTCAGCTACTTAGGAGGCTGAGACAGGAGAATCACTTGAACCCAGGAGGAGGAGGTTGCAGTGAGCAGAGGTCATGCCACTGCACTCCAGCCTGGGCAATAGAGCGAGACTTCATGCAAAATATATACCAACTTAAGTGTATGGCTGTTACTGAATATGTCCTTTCCTCTGTGGTCCAGTGGTCTATCGTGAAGCAGTGAAGTACCTTATAAGAGGATCAGTTTTCTAGATACAGGAGGAGGACTCATTCAGATGCTGATAATAAATTTTGAGAATGGCCATCTTGCAAATGCACCATTTCCTAATTCATACCCTTTGCTGTAGTTTTGCAGATAGGCATCAAATATTGCCGAATTACCATCAGTGGTTTTTACATAAGACATGTGCAAATAAAAAACAATCAGATTGATGCCAAATATTTATCATTAATCTTCATAAATAAGTGGAAGTAAAACTCATTGTAAGACTAACTTAACAATTTTCCCTTTATGTCACATTGAAGCCTTAATGCACTTGCAAATTCAATTCAGTAAATAAATGTTTGTTGAATTGAATTGCAAATCAATCCATTTTGATTCTTGATAAAGAAATGGGAAAGAAAGAGACTGACTGGTGATTTCAGGCTGGCAGTCACCGTATAACTACCCTAGAGGAGAAAAAAGGACCAGGATACCACCAATGCAGGAAGAGTGTTCAGCTCTAGTGGTCCTAGAACCTTCGTTGTATCTGCTCACTTGGGAGAAGATTGGTGTTGTCTCACCACCTTTACAAATCTTCTAGGAGGGGCTGGAGGCTGTTACCTGGACATATTTCTGGCAAATTTAACAAATCTCTTTTACACATTGCTATCATCATTCTTTTCCTGTACATCTCTGAATTATAGTTATGTATTTGACAAATATTTATTAAGCATCTACTGCATTGCAGGTACATATCTGGGTACTGGAGATGCAGCAGAAAATAAGACAAGCAAAACTTCCAGATCTCCTGGAGCTTGTAGTCTAACAGGTGAGGCAGACAATGAACCAGATGCTTGGCTAAAATGTGTGTATTTGAGATAATAATATGTTAAAGAACAAAATGAAGGAGGGTGGCTAGTGGGGAATTTCTCTGACTAGGATAAGAAGAGGGTTGTAACTTCAGATAGGTTGGCTAGGGAGGGCTGGGTTGAGACAAGTCTTCCGAGGGAAGATTGTAAAGAACTGAGGGAACAAGTTCTGAGGTTGCCTGAGAGAGGCAACTTCCAAGTTCTTGGAAGAGCACCTGTTAGTGCTCCAAGAAGGAGCCACGGCTCATGTCTTGGGAACATTGTGTTCCTGGTTGGTGTGCCTGGAGTAAGTGAAGGGGCAATGGGAGGAAGGGGGATCCCAGTGACGCAGGTCTCATTGGTCATTGTGGGGATGTTGGCTTTTATGGCAAGTGACGTAGAGGCCAGTGGATGATTGTGAGTAGAGGGGTGCCTTGACGTGAGTTGCATTCCAACAGGATTATTTTGGCTGCTGTGAGGATAACATGATGTGGATCAAGCAAGTAAGGAGTCCAGTGTCATAATACATAGAAGCAACATTGGTGGCTTAGATAAGGGAGATAGAAATGGACAGGGTTGTTTCCCGACACAATACTGTTCTTTTGTCTGCTTACTCTTGTTTCTCCATTTCTAGCAATAGTTACGAATTCATAATTCCTGTTGACATTTCCTGCACTTTCATGAGTTTCTTGAGCCCTGTCTGTTTCCCCGGTTTCATTATTATCAAACAGCTCAGCTGTGATAGACTGCTGATCTTCATCTTCATATCGATTAATTTCGTTTTCACATGCATCACCCGCGTTTCCAGCATCTTCTGCACAGTTTTCAGATGATGAGTCATTTGCGAACGACAGATTTTCATTATAGGAGTCATCTTTGGAGCAGGATGTGTTGGACTAGACTCAGGTAAAATGTTTGTTCAATTCTGCTTAGTGCTGTCTCTCATGAAATGGGATTTGATGGGTTTCTTTGAGCCCAACCACTGTCGAAATAATTACAAAGCTGTTTTCTCTTATTTATTTGCTGATCAACTGGGAATTGTGTTATTGTTTTACATGGGAAATGTAATTCTAGCAGTCACTGCTTTTAAATGAAATGATAACTGTTCTGCATTGTGATTGTATAACATGCCCATTATGAACTGAGGACCTTGGTCCCTTGAGTCAGGATTCCAGACTGGATGATGGGGAAGGAACCTCACTCCAGCTCACCTCAAATTGGTTAACAGAGGTCTCTCATTTATGGCAGGAGTTGCAAATTGAAATACTTCTCAAGATTCATCAGCCAAAGTAACTGGGTGAATCGGGCATATGTAAGAAAACAGGGACTGGAGGGTACTGTCTTGCTGAACTCTATAGGGATAAGCCAAGGTCAGTGCCATTTGGTAGTTATCTTGCCTAAATGTGGTTTCAGTATTAACAGATTTCCTTAAAAGAAGTCAGAAATCTGTATTATTATGGGCACTCTGATATTTAATTGTTTTTTTCATGTTTAGAGCAACAAAATAGGTCTTTGACCCAGATCCAATTCAAATTGTCTGGTTTGTAACTCCTGATTCACAAAGATACCTTTGCACTTTCTGTATTTATGATGCTTCTTTTATCTGCTTTCAGTGAGAACAACCACATGGGACTCTGTATAGTTCAAGCTTACTATAACTGACCGTAAAGAATCTTACTTAGGAAAAGTAATAAAATACTTTTTCCTTCTTCTATAACAAAATGCCATAGACCAGGTAGCTTATAAACAACAGAAATTTGTTTCTCACAGTTCTAGAGGCTGGAAAGTCCAAGATCAAGCAAGCCATCAACAGACTCTGGATCTGGTTCACACATGGCACCTTCTTGCTTTGTCCTCACACGGCAGAAGGGGCAAATGAGCTCCCTTGGGCCTGTTTTATAAGGATATGAGTCCCATTTATGGGGGCTCTGCCCTCATGACCAAATCACTTCCTGAAAGACCCTACCTTCTAATACCATCTCCCTGGAGGTTAGCATTTCAACAGATGAATGTTGAGGGTCACAAACATTCAGACCACAGCAGGGTGGTTTTCTAACATAACCATGTTCTGAAACTGGCCCCTGGAGGACTGAGTATTGAATCCTGGCCTGAACTGACCCTTAGGCTCTTGGTTCTGTGCTTCACTTCCCACCAGTGAGTCGATGGTGTTAGTGGAATTGAACTCAAGACTCTGACTCCAAATCCTATGTTCTTTCCTTCTTTTCTGTTTCTCCTTTTCTTCAAAATCCAGTGCAAGTATCCATTTGAGTCAAGCCTGGAGCACCACCGGTTTATAAGGAAACATCCTCTTTGGATCATCTTTTCATGGCCACCGTAGGATTTAGAAGAAATGCAGGACCTGAACTGAAACCAGTGTTGTCCAATCTCAGCACTGCAGCTAGTCTGCTTGGCAACCAGAGCCCAGGCACTGTAGCCTCTGAGACTTGTACTGCAGTCATTTAGGAAAATCTGTCTTGATCTGTTTGTCTCTGTCTCTGTCCCTCTCTTTCTCCTCACCAACATTGTCTCTATTTTAATTTTTGAACTTTAAAAAATGCTTTAATTATTACTGGTAAGTAAAAAAGTCGTGCTAATGAGATACACATCTAGAAAAAGGTCACCTAGACTTTCCAAAGTGAAAATTGACTTCAGGAAGAGCCAGCACCACCAGCTTTAAGCCCTGGACAGTGCTGCTAAGTGTATACCTTAAAGTGGGTAGGCATTAGCTGGGATCATTTGAAACACAGATTTTGATTCATTAGGACTAGGGTGAGCCTGGACTTTTGCTTTTCTTAGGAGCTCCTGGTGGTGTTAATGAGGCTGATCTGTGGACCATACTGAGTAGCAAGGCCCTATAAAACTGCTACCTCATCTCTCTCTTCCTCTGTCTCTTCATCCTCAATTATATGTTTTCCTTCAAACATCAACATTCAGAATAAATGAGAAATCATGTTTTATTCAATATATTTATTTTTGTGTTTTGTTTAAAAGTGACTACATTTTAGCTATACTATGAGTTAAAAAGACTTTCTGTGTGTGTATAAGGAGGGATAGCTTTTCCAGGAATGAAAGTACCATTGAGACCATACTTTGCATGGTCCCAGATCTAAATGGCCAAAATAAATAATAATTATAATGATATTATTATTATTATTGGATATATTCTTTGTTAAGCACTGTATTAATGTTTAACTTAGTACATCTCTTTGCTTATGATAACCATATGAGTTGGGAACTGTTGCACCGATCTGAAGTTTATACATGACACATAAAAAAGCAGGGCAAGAGACTCTAAGGAACTGGTCCAGGGTCACAGAGCAGGTACATGGTAGAGGCAGGATTCAACTAATACCTGGGATTATTCAAAACTTCAAATCCTGTAGAATTTGGAGGTATGCCACCATGCAGACTGAGTATACCATGTCCTCAATAAAAATGACAGAGGGAAGTGTTTTGTTGGTATCAGCCCTAAGGCTTCTGGTCTTTTTTTTGTTGCTGGGTTTTCCAGAGAGTGTCCAGCTTCAACCAGTTTTCTGCAGTACTAGGACGGGTATCTGGGTACCAGAAGTGACCACAACAGGATATAGCAGGTGAAGATTAGCCCAACCAAGAAGTAGACTGAACAGTTGAAAAGAGGTTCTCAAAAGGCATGAGGAATCAAAAGAAAAATGCATGACATGCATTTCCTAAATAGCCCAATTGTTGGGGTTCTCCCATGCTGAGGGATTGAGGAGAAAATATGATCAAACCCTTGCTGAGGATTTGGCCATTGGCATGGGCTTCTGGTTAATCAGGCCATTTCCTAAGTAGAGGCAGGTCAATACCATGGGCAATAAGGGTCCAGGTGATCCTGAGGGCAGGGCATTTAGGGAGGCAGCTGAAAGGCCCTCTACCAACCAGGCGTGAGACAAATGTGATTCTCTGCCATCCACAACCAGCCCAGAGAGCCCATCACCACCAATACTATTAAAAAAAATGGTGAAGAGGGTGAGCTCCGGAGCCAGACTCAGCTATTAACAGGCCTGGGCCCTTTGACCCTTATGATACTCAAATTCTTCATTTGCAAAGTTGTACAATGGTATCATCCTGATGGGACCGTTGTGAGAATTAAATGAGGAATTATTTCACTATTGTAAGTGAACTAGAGATAATCCCTGATTTTCTTTACTATAATATTTCTGGACATAATGTTTCTTAATACAAAGAAGGGACTGAATAAATACTAATAGTTCTTACATGAATGATCAAATAAAGACCCTGCTGATAAAAGCACTTAGTACAGGACCTGGCATAGAGTAGAAACTCAGAACTTTGCTAGTATAAACATGAAATTTCACACAAGAGAAAGACTCATCAAGACCGGGTACTCTCAGGGAAACCCAACAGTTAGGAAATAATTTTATGATTCAAGCTAATGTTTAAATAATGCTTAATGTCTGTGTTAGACACTCTTGTAACCAAGCATTTAATATTCATCAATACACTAAAATCTCTAGACACCCCTATGATGTACAGGGTATTTTTACACACCCACCCCATCTTGCAGATGAGAACACTGAGGCATAGAGAAGATCATTATATCATTTAAGACCACAGATCTCATAAATGGCAGAACTTGACTTTAAAAACAGAAGGTTTGGCTCCAGGGTCCATATTCTCAATCACTGTCTACCATTGCTGTTCATTTATGAGACTTCCAGGGTGTGAGGACTTGCCTCTAACCTTGTACCTCTTTGAGCCTACTCTCATCTCCATTCTAGAGGTAGTAGGGCTCCTTGGAAAGAGAACCATGTTAGCAGGGAATTGTCTGTAGAAATTGGGGAAGACCATGTGGGCTAAACCAGAAATGTACTTTTTCATACAAATGCTTTTTAATAATCAAGCAGAATTACGATTTATTAAAATTAAATTGTGGCTCCTTTTCCATCACAAAAGCTGTATTTCTAGTTATTCAATGGAAAGATCATGCATAAAGAAAGCAAAAAACAGGTAGTATTTGGCAACACTGGTCATAAAAAAGAATAATGGAAACATTATTTTTTAACTAAAATAACAGTGGAAAGAAGTCAGAAGATGTTGTTTTAGGAAGTTTTAAAAATCTTCTTTATAATCTTTGTTTTTTAACTCCATAATAATAAATATTCACAATATTTTAATAAAAAATGTGTTTTTATAAAGAATCCTCCCACCATGGTGATAATAGAGAAACCTTGGTTATTGACTCTCAGTGACAGTTTATAAACAACATACAGAAAAATCTGAATAACCTGGAAGCTTCTTTTTTTTTTTTTCTTTGAGGTATATCCCTTCATCTGGCTCTGGATCCAGTCAATCCTCCCTTTCAGAGGTATCAATTTATAAATCACCTCTTCCTCATCTCATTCCCCTCTATCAATTTCTTCTCCTCAGCATTTTAACTTGACCAAAATCTCTGCCATCTTAAAAATACTTCTTTTGGTCTTATGTTTGCCCATATTGCCCTATTTCTCACTCATACTGAATAATATTTTGTACTATTAAAATGTTTATCATTTAAAAATTATCTAACATTTTGTAGCTAAATTTAACTCATTTATATTTATTAATTGAACATCTATATACCATTGCATTGATACCTTTCCTTTGCTAGGTACATTTTTTTTTGAACTTGACTGTTGTCAGTGGATTGGATTTACTTATTTTTGTGTTTATATAGTAGTTTCACAGTTTTATATCTTATTTCTATGTTTTGAAATTTATATGTACACTTTAAATCATATACATGGAAAATTATCTATCCAGTGTATCTTGAGTCAGTCAGTATCCTCTGAGCAGGAAAGAAATGCTAGTATGTTTCACTCCTCTCCAGTCTCACTTCCTTATCTATGATACAGTGACCTTTCGAAATTTCAATTCCAGAATCACATTAAAACTATTCACACTTTACAAGCATTTGGCTTGGCTGTGCTTCTATCCAACTTATCAAAGTGTGAATGAAGAGGTTGTATTAATTCTGCCGTCTTTTAAAGGTCTATTTCTTTTTTTTTCCTTTTGTAAGGTTTTTTAATACATTTTCACTTATTATTTTTGTTGTATATATTTGAGGAGTACAACATGATGTTTTGATATACATTACATAGTAAAATGATCACTACGGGTAAGTAGATTAACATATCCATCCCCTTTCTTATTTGTCTCTTTTTTGTGGTAAGAGCACCTAAAATCTACTCTCTTAGAAAATTTTTAGTATACAATATTATTAACTATAGTCCTCATACTGTACATTAGATATCTAGACTTATTCCCCCTAGCTACTTGTAAGTTTGTACCCTTTGACTTATACGGTCTCATTTCCTTCTCCTCCTTGCTCCCGTAACCACTGTTCTACTCTCTGTTTCTTTGTATTCAACTGTTTTTTTTCTTTTTTTTTGATTCCACAATTTGACCTTATGTTTTACTGGTTACTTGTTTTCTACCCTTTCTTGCATGTCATTTTCTTCTACCATAGATTCTTTGGTAATTTTCCTGTGGTATATCTTCAAGGAACTCAAAGAGACTCTGTGGATGGTAAGGTTTCTGATTTCTTATGTGTTAGAAAATAGTCAAGTGCCTGTTTGATCAGATCCACTGTCTTCTAGTTTACAATGTTATCTAGCCCACAATGATAGCTAAAGACAATCAGAACTTTAGCCTTTAAAGGGAAATGACTTTAGCTTTTCTATTTTCAGGTTTTTATCTTTGGATTTGGTTCTGACATTTTATCATACTGTTTATAGGGGTGGGTCTTTTATTGCCATCCGTTTTTCTGTTGCTTAATGTTCAAAGGCCCCATTCAATTTAAAGATACTTTTTATTCTTCAGCTCTAGAAAATTTTCTTTTATTATGATTATTTGTTATATCATTTTCTTCTTTCCTTCTAGAACTCATTCTTGATAAACAGTGGAAATTTTGGGTCTATATTCTATGCCTTTAAAATTATTTTTTTGCATCACCGTGAGCCAGGATCATCTCCTCATCCCAAGATCCTTAATTAAATCATATCTGCAAAGACCTTTTTTCCATACAAGGTAATATTTACAGGTTCCAGGGGCAAGGACCTAGTATCTTTGAGGGTCCTTATTCAGTTTCATAAGGTCCCTTTTAGTTCCTTCTGATTGTAGACCCTGAGGCTGGAGTTTTATTATGTGCCGGAAGTCATGACATTGTCCTCATCCATCTGATCCAGCTTTGCTCGACTTTCTCACTTTCTCCACCCTGTCTCCTGTTTCCCGGCCCTTTTGCTTCCTTTTTCCACCCATTCAATCTTTCCAAGCACTTACCTCTTTTCCTTTTTCTTTTCCACTCTCCTTTTCTCTCCTTCCTTCACCACCTTCTTCTTTCCTCTCACTTTTACCTTCTTTCCCTTCCTTCTTTGCTTTCTGCATTCTTTTTCGCTCTACCCTTCCTTATCTCCTCGGTGCCTCCCCTCCACCTTCTCCTTCCCCTTTTCCCATCCTTCTTCCGCTTTGCTTACACCATATTCTCACAGGTTGTCTCTGCCTAATATCTCCACAGCTCCAATCAAATATTCTCACCTTGAACCACATCAGGAATTCTTCATCATTTCTGGTTTGCTGAATTTATTTTTTGTTCTTGCTTTCTAGGATCTTGATTCACTTAATTGTAAAACAGAAAAATCAATTTCTGAAGTCACATTAAGTTTTTGCAGGTTGTCCGGGCACGGTGGCTCACATCCATAATCCCAGCATTTTGGGAGGCCGAGATCGGCAGATCACTTGAGGTCAGGAGTTCCAGACCAGGCCGGCTAACATGGTGAAACCCCCTCTCTCCAAAAACTACAAAAATTAGCCAGGGGTGGTGGTGCCTTCCTGTAGACCCAGCTACTTGGGAGGCTGAGGCACAAGAATCGCTTGAACCCAGGAGGCAGAGGTTGCAGTGAGCCAAGATCATGCCACTGCACTCCAGCCCAGGTGACAGAGTGAGACTCCATCTCAAAGAAAAAAAATAAGTTTTTGGAGGAAGGAATAATATTCTTTACAATTTTAATACCTGGAAATGCCTTTTTATTTACAATATTTCTTTAGACTGTGAACTTCCCATAGCAAAGAGTCTTCCATATTTGTTTTAATTTACTTAATGCCCAGCACATGGGGTTACTCTTACGTGTTTCTGAAATGCATGCCATTGTGGATTTTGTGAAATGAAATGCATGTGGTTTTTTTAACTGATCACTCAAGTTGATTAGACTGCCACGTCCCATGCGAAAAAAGGGCGCTCAGAAAGCCAGTGATTGGATAATAATTTGAGAATACTCAAGTTTCTAGTAGTCCTAGTCAGTTGAACCTAAAAATGCCATTAACCCTTTCTCAAAGAAGCAGATTGGAGGTGAGTAGCAGTTGTGTGGCTTTTTTGTATGCAGCTGTTCACTTTCAAAACTTAATTTAAAACAATAAAAAATGTACCTCGAAATCATTTTGTTTCCCTATTTATTTAACGTGATTTATTCTAAATGCGTTTCATATCACCATAATGTATTGGAGCTCAACCACCACCTGTTATTTTGTAGGGGAAATAAACAAGACCTCTCTCATCAGATGAGTTAATTACACTGACATATTCACTCCTCCCCAGAGATACCATAAACTAAAATGCCGCAAAGCTTTAATTCAAACAAGCAGGCTGGAAACAAGAGCTATTGCAGTGGTATAATTTTCTTTGGGAGAATCAAAAGCTCAACACAGGCTTGAACTTAGGGGGCAAGATAGTTGGAGTTGATCAAATGGAGGCTTGTCTAGGGTCACATAATAAATCTGTAGGTGAGTTTAGCTTGAACCCATTTCTCAATGTTTTGGCACTATTTTCCAACCTTTGTGCTTCTGAGCATCATGTGGTCATTTTTTAAACTGTTTCATCCTGTTATTTCTCCCTCCCCTCAGGTGTTTGTCTGGGGATGGCTGTGCACCCGGAAGGCCATTCGCTCCATGAAGAACATGAAGGAGGTACCTGGTCCTACCTGGATTCTTGGGTGTGCGGGCAGCAGCAGCAGCAGCCATAGTGAACTTCATCCTAAGGAAATTAAGCACATGTTGCATGAGGCTGCTGTGGGGGTGCCAGGTCAGATTCTCCAGTGGTAGAACCTGAGATGAGGATTCATGGGCAAGGATTTACTGAGAATGTTCCCCCAGAAGAATTGTATAGGGTGATGGGAGAAGCAGCCCAGGGAAGGGAAAGAAGCCAGGCAAGATGTAACTTCAGGCAAATCTCAGCCTCAGCCTGATCCTGTGGGGAGCTCAGGAGTATAAATCTCACCCCAGATTTTTTTCTCAACTGGCAGCAAAAGAAGTGGGCTTTCTTACTCCTCCTACCATTGGTCCCTGGCTAAGAGCCACTGGAAGAAACATAAACTCCTGGACACTTTTGGTTATCTTCCCTGTAAGCAAAGCAGCCCTCATAGCCGTGGCAGCTCCTTAAAAAGTATCACAGGTGTAGGAGAAAGCCCAAAGAAAGGGGGGAAGTGGGTATATGACCCACAAGAGACTGTAAGAAGGATTCAAGGTGGCGTGAGAGGAGAACAGCAGAGTCTGCTGTCCCCAGTAAGGAGTATCAAGTACTCTGTGCCTGCAAGGTGGAAGCTGGGGGAGGACCCCCACCTAAAGGCTGAGTACCTACAGTCTATATAGATTTTAAGGACCTCTAAAGTATTTGAGACCTAAAAACTAAAAAAAAAAAAAAAAAAAAATCATAGTTGTAACAAAAAATTCACTTGAAATTAATGCATTTATTAATTCAACCAATATTTGTTCAGATATTTACTAGGTTCCATTCTGTTCTAGGTGCTGGGGTTTCTGTAGTGGATAAAACACAAAAATACCAGGCCTCATGGTGAAAAGAGAACGACAATAAACAAGATAAGTTAGATCTATGGTGTTGAGGAGGGAGGCGGGACTTTAGTCTGGAGACTGGGTTCCGTCGACTCCAGACCAAATTGAAGACTAGCTAAAACAGGGACCCGACGGGAGCAGCTTTCCGTAAGACACCTCACCGGTCTGCCATGTCAGTTTACCATTGCCATGGCAACACCCGGGAGTTACCACCCCTTTCCATGGCAATGACCCAAGGATCCAAAAGTTACCACCCTTCCTCTGGAAATTTCTGCATCAACTGGCCCTTAATCTACAAGTCATTAAAAGTAAGTGTAAATATGGCTGCAAAACTGCCCTGAGCTGCTACTCTGGGCACACTGCCCATGGGGTAGCCCAGCTCTACAGGAGCAGTCACGGAGCTGTAATACTGCCCGAGCTATAACACTGTCACTTCAATAAAGCTGTTTTCTTCTACTCTACCACTGGCTCACCCTTGAATTGTTTCCTGGGTGAAGCCAAGAACCCTCATGGGCTAAACTCCAATCTGGAGTTGCCTGTCCTGCACCAGCATCTTATATTCATAAGTTCCATAAAGAAAATAAGGCAGGGGAGGAGAAGTAAGTAGGGTCCATGGTGGTGTGGGCAGTGTAAGTTGTACTTTTAAATAGGGTGGTCAGGGCAGCATTCTCTGCTATACATAATGATTGCTGGGAACTTTTGGGCAAATGAGTAACTCAGAACTAAATAAGTAGCTTAATAAACAGTCTTTCCATTTGTTTTTCACCAAATACATTTTTAGTTCATATGCAATGGAAGCAGGGTCACGTATTATACAATTCCAGAGAGCTCCACTCAAAACTGGGCTTGTCAACATGGCAACCCAGGGAGTGAGTGCATTTTAATATTCTTGACTTAACACAAGGTGGTACCTCCTATGACAAGAATGGCCAGGATTACAAAAGTCTTAAAGAGCCCTTCTCACTTTGGTCACGTAGCATTGCAGGTCTGCAAGTCAAATGACAGGGCACCCTAGGAAAAGTGATGTTTGCCAACTGAACTCTTGGAGGTAGATTGATAAATCCACAAACCAATTTATTCATTTACAGCAGGCGATGTAGCCGGCACAATAACTCAATCAGTCTCTTTCCTGGTATTGACTTACCTGAGGAACCAAATTAATTATCAGAAGGTTGCTCTGCTAAGTATGGAATTAGAAAGAAAGGAAATTGGATGGTCTTAAGGGATTGTTCTTACAGGCTTGGATAAATCCTGATAAATTGCCTTTAAAGAGAAAGGAATGCACTGCTCTTTGAGAACCTGGCTCAGTTGTAACCACCTTCTCCTTGAACTCTGACGCTGACCCAAGTTTGTCATCCAAGGCTTTTAGTTTACACTTGTTCTTATATTACCTCGTTTCAAAAAAAAAATCTAAATTGCATTGTAAATCAATGAGATTTTAAGTGTGCTGTGTTCTGACTGTGTCCAGGGAGACATTTTAATCTCATGGATAAATGGTAATCTTTCATCAGAGATAATTTCCTCTTTTTGATCTTTCTCTTTATTCCTTTGTCTGTCTTGCTTTTTAGGTCCTTTTTCTTTTTTCTCATCACCATAGCAAATGTCTCAAAAAACTGTGGTTGTAAAATATGCAGATAACAACCACGCCTTTATTTCATCATAGTGGTTAGGAGCACACACTCCAGCTAAATCCTGGTCCTTCTTGGTGGCTGTATGATCTTAAGTAAGCTCACTTTGCTTCAATTTTCTTATTTATAAAATGGGAATAATAACAGCCATGTTATAGAGTTATTCTGATGATTCCAAAGGGCCTCAGAGACCTAGGATCCACAAAATCAAAAGTACGTTCATAAAAATATTAAGGAGTATATTATGTTCATAAAAATATTAAGAAGTAATTAGCCTTTTCACTTAGTTGACTTTTGGAATAATGGTGCAAGATCAATGCTGGGTAGACAGTGGTGCCTCAGTATGACAAGTGGTGGCACCAACTGTGCTAGCAGTCTTGGTATTCTGCACCACTTGCAGGGGGAAAAATGAAACTTAAGAACAGCCTTGATGAACTAGTAACATTTCTTAATTTTATTAAATCTTGATTTTTTAATGTTCCGTGTGATAAAAAGGGAAGTGTATTTAAAGCACTTCTGCTATATAAGGTATCATGATGGTCGTTTCTAGGAAAACACTTGTATGATTGAATTGGGAGCTGAAGTAGACACGGCTTTCATAAAACATTTTTATTTGGAAGAATGACTGACAAATTATGGTAATTCAGACCTCAGAATCTGGCTGATTTTTGTTTTGAAAATGAGCAAAACGAGTATCACTGCAAGGAAAACAGCAAGTGGTATTTGTTGCCAATGATAAAATCCTTATTTTCAAGCAAAAATGAGAATTTGTAAAAGTTGAACCCGCCACTGTGAGCTCGACAGCTTCCCCATGCTTAAATACTTTTCTGATAAGAATGGTGGTGATATGAACTATGTCAGAATCTGGAATATCTTCATAACCTGCTAAGTCAATATTTTCCAGATGACCAATGTGTGATGTTACAAAACCATGCATGCATTAAAGGTCTATTCAAATTGCAAGATAGACCAAATGGATTTTAATGTAGCAGAGTATGAAAAGCCTATTGAATATGATTTCACATTCCACATTGTAGTAACCTTTAAAAACTTATTACTTGTTGAGTTTTGGTGTAGTATCAAAGAAGAAAATATTTACTTATCTGAAAAGCTTTTTAAAATACTCTTGTTTTTTCTAAGTACACACATGTGTGGGACTGGATTTTCCTCACATACTTGCCTTAACCAGAACATATTATTACAGACTGAACATAGGGAAGGATATGAGAATGTAGCTGTTTTCTACAACTAGGCATTAAAAATGTACTTCTTACTAAATATTTTTTGTTTTGGAAACTATAGTTATGCTTTTATAGGCATATGTTGTTTATATTAACATGTAATGGATTCACTGTCATTTATTATTAATTTATTATTATTTTAGCATGAATTTTTAAATAAACATATTAAAACTTTCGCAGTTTTAATTTCTACCATGGCAAATGTTGATTGTGATAAGCCATATAAACAAAAACTCTCTGGGAAGCTCAATGATTTCTAAGAGTGTGAAGGCATCTTAAGACCTAAAAGTCCTGAGTGTCACTGATTTAGAACATTGCTTAGCTCATAGGAAAAGGCATATAATCCTTAACACTTTTATTGGCTAATTCTTCACACGCCTAGAATTACTTGTTCCCAAGGTATGTATAATTTTAATAACAGTTAACTTTTATTAAAGATTTACTTTGTGTGTGCCAGACACTGTGCTATTTGCTTTGCATGTATTATGTAACCTAATTTTTAATAAAATGTGATAAGATAGGTACCAATGTTAGTTTTGTTTTATAGATGAGGGAAATGGAGTACGGAGAGGTTAGGTAATTTGACCAAGGTCACACAGCTATGGAATAGCAGAAATGAGACCCCAGGCAGTCTGATTCCAGACTGCCCCTCATGACTTTTTTCTATGTGAGTTGTGTTTATATTATTTCCCCATTTAAATGCTCTGAGTCCCCCACCAACTTGATTGTGGGATCAGAGTCCATTCCCCTGACTCAACCCAAGCAAGTCTCCCCAGTACTTTCTAGGAACTTCCAAAAGAGTACCTCTCTCATGGAGCCACAGTGAAGTCCATCAGCAGCCATCCTCCACGTTCTTCTCTATTCCAATCACTCTCTGGTTTCCACTGGTTACCAAACGAGTTGAAGTTTTGCTATCACCTTCCTAATGATGCTCTTCATATATAAGCTATTACCTCACAACATCTGGGACACCAACAGGTGCTGGTTCTATCAAGACTGGCAATATAATTTGCAGGATCCAGTGCAAAATAAAAATGTGGGGCCTCTTCTTTAAAAGCTATTTAAAGTCTGCAGCTGCAAAGCATTGATCAAGTACAGAGTTCCATGTGAAGTGCTTTTTCAGTTGCATGCCTGGAGAATTGGCTCTGGGTTCTCTGCAGAGATGGGAAATACCACAGCCTTTCTGAATCTGTCACAGCTTGTGCCCCTTAGGCATGAAGGCAGGAGCCTCATGGCCACACATACTTTCTTGTGAAAATGGGTCCTGCAGCTTCCAGTCTTTAGTCCTCCAGCCAGAGACCATCGAATCTAGTACACAGGGATGGAGGTGCTGATGCCTTGACACTCCCTCTGCTATCTTGTCTTTCCTCTCCTTCCAGCAGCAAAGCCAAGCCTTTGTGCTCATCTGTGGTTGTGACCAGTTGGAGAGACATTAGGAGATGAGATACTGTGTTCACTCCTCACAGCTGTACCAGGGACCTGAGATATTCCATCACTATTCTATGAGTGAGTAAATTTAATATGTAGAAAGAACTGAGAACTTTTTCTTAAAAGCATGAAGAGCAAGACTTTGTCGGGTTATAGAGAAATCAAACTGTTTTTTTCTTAAGCCAAAGAATGACGCTAACTGCCTTATTTAACCAAGCCATGGGAAGGATAGAGCAGGCTGGTTTCAGACATAAATGGATCTAGGGCCCTTAGCCCAGTCTGACAGTCACTATGAGGGTCTTATCCTATTTCTCTGACTGGCCTTGACTTCAGACCCAGAGCTATCCCTGGACCCGTCACTGTGGCCAAGGGAAATGGTGGGACCATTGGCCCAGATTGTGCCCACTCATGTGGTCAGGAAGCGGGCAGGGGTGCTATGACCATCTCTCACCATGGTGAGATGGGAGAGTGGAGTAGGAGCCTTTTGCCCCCGAAAGTAGTAACTATTCTAGATAGAACCTTTATGGCAAAGCCATGGTTCTTCTAAAATAACCCTTTGCAGAAATGTAAACCTGAATGTGGGCAGGCAGAACAATGAGAGCCAGGAAATAGGATTCAGTTTAAGAAAATCTGGTTTATTAGAAACTGACATCAGGTGAGTGCTGACGCTTATATCTTCCACAGCAAAATTTGGGAACCCAGAGAAAGTGAGGTCCAATTAGTAGAACCTCGCCATCCTGAGAGACCCAGGGACTAATCCAGTGAATAATGCTCATGTGTTAGGATTTTTGGAGTTCCCACGAGTGGTTTTCCAGTGCCAGGGTATGAGAATATAGTCTCCATGTCCAAACTCACAATTTCAGAACAAATTTCATCAAGATAAAGGTAAAAACAAACCATGACCTGGGAATTTTGTCAGTTAGATCACTATTGCAGAATTTATTTATTGCATACCCATGTCTTACAGCAAAAGGCAAATATGCAAAGGACACTCAGGTATGAAAATCACCCCTCCTCCGTGAACTGGTGGCCTGTGAAAGAGAAACCCAGAGAGGAATTGGCATACTTCCATTTCTATATTTCCTTCGTTTGGCACCAAAGGTAGTATTTTTGTAGTATTTTGCAATATTTTGTCTATATTTGTTTCCCAACACCCAAAATGAAGGGAGCTGATGAAGTAGAGGCAACCAGGAACTGGGGAGGGTCACTTTCTTAGGGATGGGTGGAACCAGTGAGAAGCTGTCTGATTTGCAGTGGTTCAGTGATTTCTTAAAATTCTTTGCAGGGCTGACCTATTTCTAATTCCTCGAGCCTATAGTCTGAAAGGTCATTAATCTGGGCTCGGCTCATGGTGCTGAGGCTTAAGACTTCTATTTCTTAAATGCCAAAGGTGTGTCAGGTTTTGAAATGCTGGTATCTCTATTCAGGCATGCAGTGGTTAGTAGAGAGGTACAGCAGCACTTCCTTTTGTCAGGGAAGCATTCACCTGACCAAAGGAGCCACCTGTGTTTTTACTTTTTTTTTTTTTTTTGCCATTTGGATCTTTGCCTTGGATTCAAAAGACAAACCAATCTCCCCCACACACTTTCTTTTTTCTTTTTTTTTGTCAAGTACAGGGACAAACAGGTATGTGTTTGCTAATGGGTGACAGCATCAAATGTACTTCCCAAGAGTCAAGTTGGAGGAAAACATGGAAAGTATCAATTTATTCTTGTCACTTTCTGTCTCCTCATTTTCTATAGAATGAAATCTGAGCTCTTTGTTGTCACATATGAGGTTCTTTCTGGTCCTCTTTCTGCTTCCTTCACTGATCTTCCTTCTTGCCTCTCCCCAAACTTACCTTTGACCTCTAAGAACCAGTCCTGTCTCGGTTCACATCAGGGCCTTTGTAAATGTCATTCCTGGCCTTCTCACCTGGCGGATTCCTGCTGACCTTTCGGTGGATGGTTCTTCTTTAGGAGGCCTCACCTGACTCCCCAACCCTGAAGGAGGGACTTCTCTTTGGTGTTCCCATAGCAACCAGTGCTTGCTGCAGGAACGCACTTCCTCTGCATGTAATTGCTTGTTTACTTGTCTTTCTTCCCTATTATGCCTTTTCTTGTTTCTTTCTTTTCCTCTTTCTCCTTCTCCTCCTTCATTCTAATGCATTTTCCTTGCATGAAATCCAAACATCACAGATAAAGAATGCCATCCTCCTGGGCCACGCGTCAGATCTCTTTCATGTCTCTCTAGACACACTTACCAGCCACTTACTCCCACAGTGCGCTGGGAGCCTGACCTTGGGGTCTGCTTTGACAGGCCTTTTGCCCTCCAGCTTGCTATTGGGCTTGGCCACTAGGGACACAAAAGAAGGTCGGGGCTGGGAGGGAAAGGTTTTGATGTATGCGTCCCCTACTTCCCTCCCTGCCACATTCCCACTGCTGATTGTGTCACTCTAACTAAGGCTCTAGGTCTCCTCAGGTGTCCCTCTTCCTGCAATCACCTCTTGGGCTCTGGTGGCTCTTTTTCTTCTTGTCCTTCAGGCCTGGGCTGGTGAATGGTTCCTGCTTTCACTATTCCAGAAATCCAGCTCTGTACCGTGCTGCTCTCCTTAAACCCTGCCTCTCTGTAAGGTGTCCCTGTGTTAAATATTCCTTCCACTACCCAGGGTACGTGTGCATTCCATCATGCTGAGAGCCTCACTGATTCTTATAATCACTTCCAACCCTAGTCCTTGCCCCTTCCTCGAGTTCACCCAGTTATAACTATGTCTTCTAGAATATCACAGCCCTAGATGCTGGCACAGTATCACACACATAGAAGGAGTCCAATAAATGTTGACTAAATGCTATTATTGAACCTTGGGCTCCCAGGACTAAAAATTGCTAATTCCAGCCAAACACTCATTTCCTCTGCACATCATAAAGATAAAACAGGATCACAGTTGTTAGAGTGGAAAATTCCCTCGCTGTTACAGCAGCAAATAGCCAGTATGTGTTCCAATGAAAGACTCAGGAATGGGTATAAAAATAATCCACTGTATACCATCAAAAATTGAAAGCACATTCTTTTTCTTTGAAACAGTATCGGCTTGTAGAAGATTTCACTCCAACAACCATCCATCTAAAACTTCTCTCCAAGGGCACAAGTAAAATGCAACTTGTTTCATAATAAGTCCCAGGAGTTTACTTTAAAGACATGATTACCCAGAAGGCAATGAGAGCTGTCTACAATTTCTTCTGTTTTAAGAATATTTCTATCCTAACGAAAGACAGGATAGCACCAAAGTTTCACTGGAAATTTTGGCTTGTGAATTATACAGGAAATAGAAATTTTGCATATCTGTGATTGATCGTGGATTGGACCTCATTCCCCCAATTATAGTTGCTCAACTATGGAGCATAAGGCCCCATCAGAAGCCCACCTATCTGTCAGATCAGCAGTAGGCCAAGCTGTAAGCTGACAGCCTTTATTCTACCATGGTTTCATTGCTGGAATCAGTGACTATTTCAAAACCAAGCTGGGGCATTGCATACTCGAGCCATTATTATAGCTACTATTAGCAGTGCCCTTACTAGGTACTTTGCACGTCTTATCTCACCCAGGCCTCCCATCAGCGCCATGAGGGGGATGCTTTTAGCATCTCCATCTCACAGATGAAGACACTGAGGCTTAGCCAGATGAAGGGGCTTCTCCAGCTGAGTGGTACAGGCAGTACTTCCTTTGCAGCCTAGGTTCCTTATCACGTTTCCATTCACCTGGATGGAAGTGAGTCAAACTGCCTTTGGGAACCTCCAGCTTCCTGCTGGGCTTTGCCATTAGGGGCACCAAAGAAGATGAGAGCGTTGGAGAGAAAGGGTTTGCAAATTTGCAAATATGCAAAATTTCTATTTTTTGTATAATTCACAGGCTGGAATTTCCAGTGCAACTTCGGAGCTATCCTGTCTTTCTTTAGGTTAGAAATATTCTTGAAACAAAAGAAACTGTAGACAGCTCTCATTGCCTCTGGGTAATCATGTCTTTAGCATAAACTCCTGAGGCTTATTATGAAACAAATTGCATTTTATCTGTGTCCTTGGAGATAAATTTTAGATGGATGGGTGTTGGAGTAAAATTGAGTCTGGACTGCCTTTCTTCTTTGGTACCCACTTCTACTCTTGTACTTTTCTCATTGTGTTGCATTGGCTCATACTCAAAGGCAAAAAAAAAAAAAATGGCACATGCCACATTTGGTTCACAAACTACTTGCCCTCCAAGGTTCTTAAAGGGTGTGAAATTTTGCTGGATCACACTTCAGAGTTGCTCATAACATTTCTGATTTTATTAACTGCCTCACTCCCCCATCTTTTTAGGTCCTTGGGTAAAACTCCACGAAAAAAAGAGAAACAATGACCCATTGACAGCAATCCTCTGACTGTAGCTTTTTCTGTTGTCTTTAGATTCATGGAGTAGACATTCAACTAAGCAGAGATCCTCCTCCAACCCCTACTTCTTCCCTCTCACCACACATTCCCATGCCTGGCTCTTCTTTACCTTTGAAATGTCCTCGTTATCCGCATTAGTATCAGCTGGTTCCATTACGGCACAGATGTCCTGACATGGACATTCTAGGGATTTATTTCCCCACCAGGCACCAGTTTGGTAAAGTTCTCTTTATTCCGCAACATGAGCACTGTTAGCATTTTGGTCCTGACAATTCTCCGTGGTGGGGGCCATCCTGGGCATTATAAGCTGTTGAACAGCATCCCTGGTCTCTACCCATGAGATGCCAGTAACATCTCCAGTTGTGACAAACAAAAATGCCTTCAGATATTGTCAAATATCCCCTGAGGCCAAAATAACCCCTAGTTGAGAACTACTGGTTTAGTGAATGACAAGTGGGACCTGGCAGCAATACAGGTAACTCTGCACATTCTTACACATCAAGGCTCCTTGAAACATGCTCAGTGGTGACTGTGAGTCTCTCCCAGGAACAGGGGAGTTAGAAGCCCCCAGGGTGAGGATCCCAGTGTTTGTTTGTTTGTTTTTTTCTGAAGCCCTTTCATATTGTATGCCTATAGTAGCTCAGGGTCTTAATACATTCATTTCTGCATGGATGGGGTTTCAGGCTGCAACAAGATCTTGTAGGGACACTATCTCTGGCTATTAGGTGACCACAGTTCTGTGCATTGTCTCACCCAGTCCTCACAGTAACTCCAAAGACAGGTTGTATTATGATCCTATTCTACAGATGAAGGAACTTAGGAAAGTCACACGTCCAGGTCATACAGGTAGAGAGTGATGGAGCCAAGACTTGAGGCGAGGTCTTTTTGATTCCAGGTATGGATTGGCTGATTACAACTGCTTCTTTGGTGATAAGAGGGTACTGGGACTCCTCTATTTGAGAAAGAAATGCAGTAAGTGAAAGCAATGGTGGAAACTCAGATGCTGGACAACACATCCAGGAGGCTGGCTCCTCTCCATCAATAAACCAAGAACAGTTGCTTAGTGCTGTCACTTCAGAAAACTGACTGAGAGAGGCCAGATAATGATCCTTTCTTCTCCATATCTATCTGCTAGTCTAACTTCTCAGTTCCATGTTCTTCTTAAGGGGCAGGAAGGCTTTACTCAATTGTACTATTGCTGTTCAATGAGTGTTGCCACCTAGTTTAGGTACAATCACAAGATGATTTCATTTCATAAGCTATGTGAGGGCAGGACAATGTCTGTATTGCTTGCTGTTTTATTCTCAGCACTTGGGGCTCTCAATGAGCATTTCTGAAATGAATGAATCAATGAATTAATGGATACATCTATCTTGAGAAAGGGTAGATAAATTTTTACTTTTATTGCTTTTCTTAGATTTTTAATTCATGAGCAGGAATTAGTGACGGGTTTCAAGGTGACCAAACTTAATGTGGTACGTACATTATTGAAGTGGAATCTTAAATATCTATCCATTATATGTACTGAAACATCACAATGTACCCTATATATATGTACAACATCATGTGTCAATTAAAGTAAAAGGAAAGAAAATATATACAAAAAGGTAAATCTGTGTTTCCAATACACATCTTTTGGATGACAGCAGACCATAATATGGCATTTCACAAAAGCAAGACAAAACACAACAAAATGATCTGTGGGTACATTGACTCATGATTAAATAACACTGACACTCCTAGTAGGAAAGATTTGCCCATTGGATTTTCTTTAGGTCCTTCTGTCTGGTTGGGGAGAAAGTCTCAGTTGGTGCTAGTGTAGTCTTTAACATCACACTATCACTTGTTAATCTCCCTCTTTGACAAAGGAAGAGCAGACTTCAGGCTCAGATCCTTCAACAGACAACAAGTCCAGATAGAATTTTATAGCATTTTAATGTTTATATTGTGACATAGTCAAGTTGGTCATCTATGTAAGGCAAACGACACTTGGTGTTTTATGTTTACGGTTTTTGTAAAATATTTCCCTTTTATATAAATCTAGTAAAACAAAAATGAAGGGAAAATTATTGAAAGTAAAGCATTTCATGTCTTTATAACGGTTGTTGCATAGACATGGCAAACATTTTTGATGTGGTACACAAGTGGGTGGAATTTGAGAAATACTGTCACACCTATTAAGAACAAAGAAGGAACTGGTTTTTAATCCTAAATTTACACCTTGCTAGAAAGGTGGCCTTACAGGAAATTCTTTAGCTTTTCCAGGCCTTGATTGTCCTCAGATGGAAATGGGGATGGTATGTACGTAATAGTTTTGTTATAATATTTTAATGAGACAATATGTGTAGAATACTTTATTACCTGGCATTTAGGAATAACTCAAAAAATGGTTGCCATTTGTTGTTTAGATCTTGTTTCCCCATAAGCTGATGCCATTAAAGACTGACAATAATACCAGGGAATGAAAAATATGCCTTATTTTATTTTCAGATGGTCTGGCTTGATGATATCAAACCTGATGTGGCCTGAAGAGACAGACAATGGCTCTTGCTAGCTAATTATTGTCAGATGGATCAGCAGCCGACCGGTACTTCTAAAACTATTGTTTTTGGCAAATGTTCCTCAACATTTTCCTGGTATATAAATAATGATCTCTTGCAGAAAGTCACTTCCTTTAGTTTCCTTGGTGTACGTTTCATAAATGGTTTGCTTTGGCCGGTCCTCCAGGAAGTCATTTTATCATAGCTACAGGTGGTTTGTGAAGAATTCATTTTGGTTAAGGAGGACACCTGATTACGCCTGCCTTAAACATTTTCAGGCCATAACTATTTGGGAAAAGTTACATTCTCTTGGGTCTTGACCATCTATTCTATGTCTTGGGGCAGATTCTGAAGGAGATTCTGGGTAAAGTCTGGAAATTTTGGCTTTGGCTTAACTGGGTTATCCTCTGACTCCCATTCAAGCTTTTTTTTTGTTGTTGTTGTTGTTGCTCTCTCCCTCTCCGATCATCTGATACTCCAAGAGTAAAGTCGAGTAACCAGTGTTGGTGAGATGGAACCAAATGGTGAAAGAAAGAGAGAGAGAATTTTAAAGGACTGTTGATCAGGAAAGACATATGAGAGAGTGAGGTAGCTTGGAGAAAGGGAAGGGAGTGGTGCTTGGGGGAGGGCACCTGGATCCTGGGGGCCCATTCATCACCTTTATGGGGGCAGTAGATAGGAGGGTAATGTCAGAGGATTGCTTAGTATTTGGGTACATCTTCTTAGGGGCAACAAATTCCCTCCCCTCCCAGCAGAGTTCTACCAACAGACCGAATTCATTAGGTTGACTGCTGTCATAGGGACCCAGTATGAGCTTGGCTTAACCAAAAGAGAAGCTCTTTCTTTCTCTAAGCCTAGGACTGCTATAGTACGGCAGTACCATAGTATCAGTCATCCAGCCCCTTCTTACTTGTTGCTTCTCTGTTTTTTGACAACTTCCTTGTTTGGCTCAAAATGGTTTACTACCATACCCACATTTCAGCTAGGGGGAAGAAGTAAGTTCAGGGGGGTGGGCAAGGTCCTTGAGAAGCCATGTTCTAGAATTTGCACACATCACCTCTCTTCACAACCCTTACAAATATTTACCAAGCACTTCAGCCTCAAGCACAGTGAATAAGGCATATTAGATTTCTACCTTCAGTTTAAAAGGCCAGTTAGCATTCTTCAGGGACTACAGTCTCATCTCCTTGCCCACAAATATTTATCAAATTTTGAGAAAAACATATTCATTGTTTCCCATATTCATTGTTGTACATGAAGAACATTGCTGAGTTCTGTCTGAGTGCTGGGGTAACAGCAAAGACAGTAGGCAGATCCTCCCTGCAGGGAACATAGTCTGCTGAAAAACAGTAATGAACAAATATGTGAGCAAACAGAAAAAGTAATTGCAGGCAGGGCATGGTTGCTCACGTCTGTAATCTCCACACTTTGGGAGGCTGAAGTGGGAGGATCACTTGAGCCCAGGAGTTCAAGGCCAGCCTAGGCAAGATAGTGAGACTGTGTCTCTAAAATTAAAAAAAAAAAAAAAAAAAAAATCAAACAATTAGCGGGGCATGATGGCACATGCTTGTGGTCCCAGCTAAATGGGAGGTTGGGGAAGGAAGATCACTTGAGCCCAGAAAGTTGAGGCTGCAGTGAGCCTTGTTTGTGTCACTGCACACCAGCCTGGGCAGCAAAGTGAGACCCTGTCTCAAAAAAACAAAACAAACAAAACAAAACAAAACAACAAAAACAAGTAATTGCAGATTGTGGTGAGTGTTTTGGGAAAAAAACCCAAACTGAATGCTTAAAGAGAAAAGAATGAGAAATCATGTTGTTTGAATTGATGGCTTCCAAAGTTTTTTGAGGCAGTGTCATTAGAAAGCTTATCCTTGAGAAGGAGGGAGCCAAGTGAAATTCTGGGATGTTGGAATACTATACAGCAGTGAAGATGAAAGAGTCACAGCTACATGCAACCATGTGGATGCATCTCAGAAGCATACAGTTGAGTGAAGAAAACATCGCCTAAGACTATATACACTATGATACAATTTTTTATAAACCTCAAACACAAACAACCAAGTAGCGTATTATTTCAGGATGCATACATATGGAATAAAACTAAATACAAAACAGACATGAGAATAATGAACACAAAATTCCGAATAATGTATACCTGAGTGGGAGAGGAGGAGAAAATAAGAGGATATTCAAGGTAAAGTGACAGTTTTAAAGTTAGATTGTAGATTCCTGGATGCTAGTTTTGTTGGTGCGCTTTCTAACTTATACACGTGTTAAATGTATTTTTGAATACATGTAACAGTGCTTAATACAACACATTTTAAAACATAGCGGAGGGGCATTCAACTAAGTATCTAGGGAGTCCCGGCAGACAGTGTAAACTGGTGAAGTGGCTGAGTGGGTCCCTGGGGAACACCAGAGCACCTGCCTCGTCTACAGGGGCGCCATCGCCCAGTCCCTGCCCAGGGTTGCCATGTGAGCTTGCAGGCCAATTGCCCAATAACATCCATCCAGAACGTCCGATTTTTCTTAAGGAGCCTCACATCTGACATTTGTATTTTTACAAAACACTGTTCCAATGCTGGCAACGATTCCACATTTCAAAAACTCTATGGGGGCAAACGACATCCTTCGGGAGGCATACCAAGTCTCAGAAATAGAGGCAGTACTTGGAGGCCTATACTAATTCCATGCCCATTTGCAACAAGAATTCCTAAACGTATTTCTACCATACTGCGCGGCTCTAGTGCAGGCAGGAAGGAAACCCATCCCCTCTGCATTCCCAGCATGTGCTATTTCCAACCTGTGGCTTTGCTGGGTTCCTACACTTCTCTCACTTGTGAGCTCTCACCTCTAAGTCTGGAATGTGTGAAGGTGTTGCCAGCGCAGCTGAGAGCGGGTGGGCAGGAGCTTGGGCTGTCTCCGCCTGAGAGCCTGATTTCTGCATAGCACCCTCGCCCCCAGCCTTCCAGGCCCAGCTGTGCATGGTATTTGCAACACCCTTATTTTCCCCTAAAGGGCTATGGGGGAGGAATGGGTAACACGCAGCTAGGACCATGCTGCTGAGATCTAATGTACATTGTCTACTGTTGGGACTGAACACTTTCCATACAAGAGTATGCAGACCCCAAGGGACATTTGGCAATATGTGGAGATATTTTTATTGTCACAACTGGAATGGGGGCACTGCTCAGATTTGTGCGTGGTGGGTTGTGGGTGGAGGTCAGGGATGCTGCTAACCATCCTGCAATGCACAAGACAGCCCCCCTTCCTCACCCCAACACTCCAACAAAGAAATATTCCACTCAAGATGTCAATAGTGAACAGTGCTGAGGCTGAGAAACTCTTTTCCCTCTGTCTGCTCCCACCAAAAGACAAAGGTAAATAAAGCCACGGGCTGCCCACTCCCTGTGAGTGATGAAAGGTGTGTGTTGGGGGTGGGGTATGGTGAGGGGTGTAACATGAATTTAGAAGACATGCCCTTTAGCTAGAGCTGGGATTTGTGGCCACTATTTTGTTTTTATTAAAGCGTAATGCTCACAAGCAGAAGAGGAGATTTGTTATTCTAAAGACAGTTGCACACCAAAGCATGCTATTGTATAATCTGGCATTTTCCCCACTAGGGAGCTATGGTGCATTACTCACGAGTGACAGAACCAACGAGCTTCATCTCCCAAGAGGCCGGTGCATCTGTTTAAAGAGAGCAGGCGCTATGCAGAGCCGCCCCCACCCCACCCTCCATGGCGGAGTGCAGTGGGGGAAGGTAAGCTTCATTTCAGTCACTGTGAGGATGAACCATGCATTGATTCTATGCCCGCCCCACTCCCACTCCCCAAAAGGAGAGGGTCGAGTCCAATCGTGTTCTAGTAGCAGGACCCCAGGAAAGGAGGCGATTATTCTAGGCTTCAATTCAATAAATATGATTAGCGAAGTCCTGGCTGTTTCTGTACCTCAGTTTCTCAGAAGAGCTATGCATACTGGGGCCAAGAGCTTGGGGCTTGGGAGTCAGCTGGTTGCCATCAGTTTGAATGCAGGTTCAGCGCTTACAGTGTGTGCTCTTGGGCCTTGACTTCTCCCTAAGTCTTGGTTTTCTGATCTAAAAAGTAGGGATAGTAATGCTTGTCTCATAGGGTCACAAGAGACAAGGATTATAAAGCACTCAGTACTTGCCAGGCATGTAGCAAGGATCATTCCAGTATTTAGAGATAAAAGGAAGTCAACGCATATTCTCTTTGCACCTTGCGGAACAGCTGGGAATTGAAATGAAATTATGGATGGGAAAATACTTGGAAAACTTAAAAATGCAATTTCAGTGAAATGTAATGAAATCAATGTAAATATCAATGCAAATAGCGATAGTGTTTATTGTGCTGATCCTAATAAAATAGAAACATTATTACACATTATAATTACAACCAGTTAGAAGTGGAAGAAAAGTAGGTCTGCATTAGTTTAAACCTTCTATTTTATAATGGGAGAAATTGACTTCAGTGGCAAAACTTGAACGAATCCCAGCCTGGTGCCCTTTTTCCACTCCCCACAGAGTTAACTTGTTTAATTTGGCAGCCAGTTAGAGCATTGCTGTATCAGGTGGAAGGTCTCTAACTTACAGACATAAGCCTCAGTTTCTTCGTCTCTAAAATGGACATGATAATGAAACCCAACTCACAAGGTAGTGATGAAGAGTGAGATCATGCAGGTCAAATGTTTAGCAGGCATGCCTAGCCCATGGAAAGTCCTCCAGAAACAGTAATTATCATTATCCTTATTAATGGTAGTAATTGAGATGACATCTGTACATGTATCTCTCCCAGAATCTGACATCAATTGGTGAGGAGGGGAGGGGCAGTCAATATCTATTCATTTGTGCAATTGCAGATAACAGTACCTCAATGTTCTGAGAAACATTGGTGGGGACTCTAAGTCTTCCTGAAGAATTCACCATCACATTGTCTGGTTCCTGGACATCCCAGGGGAGGACCTGGACAGGTCAATGGCATCCTTTTGTAGCTTCAGAAACAATAAAAGCTGTCTGACAGTCTAGAATTTGGACAGGGATAGAATTCTACAAGCCAAAGGCCCTGATACTAATTTTGTTCTGGTCTTTGTATTAGTCCTTTTTTACACTGCTGATAAAGACATACCCAAGACAGGGTAAATTATAATGAAAAGGAAGTTTAATGGACTCACAGTTCCACGTGGCTGGGGAGGCCTCACAATCACGGTGGAAGGCAAAAGGCATGTCTTACATGGCAGCAGGCAAGAGAATGAAAGCCAAGTGCGAGGGGTTTCCCCCTATGAAACCATCAGATCTCGTGAGACTTATTCACTACCATGAGAACAGTATGGGGGACCCTCCTCCATGATTCAATTATCTCCCACTAGGTCCCTCCCACCACACGTGGGAATTATGGGAGCTACAATTCAAGATGAGATTTGGGTGGGGACACAACCAAACCATATCAGCCTTAGAGGATTTGTGAACTTTTAGGGTGGGCAGCAGAGATCAGTCGCATGTTCAGATGACCCTAGACCAGTGGTTCTCACATTTTGGCCTGCATCAGGATCACCTGGAAAATTGTTAAAACACAGGTTACTGGTCCCATGCCCTCTGACGGTCTGGTGTGAAGCCCTATATTTTGCATTTCTTTCTTTTGTTTTTGAGATGGAGTCTCACTCTGTTGCCTAGGCTGGAGTGCAATGGCACGATCTCGGCTCACTGCAACCTCCACCTCCTGGGTTCAAGCCATTTCTCTGCCTCAGCCTCCCGAGTAGCTGGGATTACAGATGTCCACCACCACGCCCGGCTAATTTTTGTATTTTTAGTAGAGACGAGGTTTTGCTATGTTGGCAAGGTTGGTCTCCAACTACTGACCTCAGGTGATCCACCCTCCTCAGCCTCCCAAAGTTCTGGGATTACAGGCGTAAGCCACCGTGCCCAGCCTAAATTTTGTATTTCTAACAAGATCCCAGCTGATGCTGATGCTCCTGATCCAGGGACTGCACTTTAGAATCACGGTCCTGCAGCAGCATTGCTATGCTTCAGTACTGTTGGTGTTTAGGGCTGGCTAATTCTTGGTTGTGGAGGGTACTGTAGGGTGTTTAGCAGCATCTCTGGCCTCTGTTCACTAGATACTGGTAGCAGTTTCAACAACCAAAAATGTCTCCAGACATTGCCTAATGCCCTCTGTGGGGCAAAATCTCCTGGTTAAGAACCCCTACTGTAGACTGAGATGATTAGAATCGAACTCTAGTCACTTCTTGTCATAGTGGTGTGACTGCAGTCATATTGCTGTGCCTTTCTAGGCTTCTTCATCCATGTAATGGGTACAGGGATGCCAGCCTCATAAGATCCAAGTGGAAACTCAGAGATAATACAGGGAAAGCCCGAAGCACAGTGCCTGTACACATTGAGCAGCTTAATTCATGTTAGTTATTGCTTTTGAGCCCTCCATAGCAGATCTACATAGTGCAATGTTTTTTGTTTTTTTTTCTCTCATGAAGAAGTTTTCATATAGAAAGCATTTTCATAGAGAAAGCAGGTTTATATAGAAAGCATTGGCTGCTGATTGGAGTGGAGAGGCTGTAGACCTTCATCTAGGATCGAGCAACCCCCAGAAAACAATTTTAAACATGTCCATTCAGACAAAGGAGTCCAAAACCATAAGGTCCTCTCAGCATCCTGAACTAATGTCCAGCTGTTATCTCGGTGAGTAGTTCCCAATCATTAGCTCAGAGGTGACTGACTACAAAAACATATTCCAGCTTTATGAGCACACCTCCTATTTGCTAGCCAGGGTTGACACTACCGAGATCTCTTTCCAGTTTTTAGAATTTAAAACAATGAGCTGGGCACTCACATTTTCTTTCCCAACTTTGCTCTAGAAGTGAGCTTTCAAATCTGGAGCACTGCTGCATTCTGAGTTCCCAAGCAACTCCTGTCCAAGGGTAATCTATGCTGGTACACACAAGGGATCATGGATTTTTCTTTGGCTGTCAGCTCTCAAAATTACCCAGCAATCCCAAAATGAATTTCCACTAATCTGACAGTTTTGCCTCTCCTGACATGATGTACTGTATATTCAGTGGTCAGCAGGGACTATTTAATTGCAGTTAAGCCTCTGCTGTTCATTGTGGCATTTAAAATAGAGCAATGTGTAATGTGGCTACCCTTACTGACTCTCCAGGCCCAGATGGGTGGGTGGAACTCAATTTTGGGGGGAAACTTCTACCTGGGAACATTTAGTAATTAAGTTTTACTGGCTAGCAGCTTTAATTCTTTCATTTTGAAGATTTATAAATGTTAGAATCAAAACTAACATCAAATCTCTCTACAAGGTAGAAGGAACTGCAATGTCAGATGAAACTGCTGATGAGTTACAAATGGATTAGAAACTCAAGAAAGGAGAGATTAACATTTTTAGAGTACGTACTATATGCTTGGCAGTTTTCAGGTGTTATCTCACTTTTCTCTTAAGGCATTTCAAAGAGGCAGGGATGTTTCCCCCCATTTTACAGATGCAGAAACTGAGGCCTTAAAGGATTAAGTTACTGCCCAAGACTTGTGAGTGTGTGAGCAGAGCCAAGATTTGAACCCAGGTGTGTCTGATAACAGTCTAGACTCTTAATGCCCCACGCTAAACTTCCCAAAAGATGCTAGATGTCATTTGTTTTTCAACTGTTTATTTGACAGGTGGAGAAACTGAGGTGTAGACAGTTCAAAGTGACTTGCTGAGAATTAAGTTATCTCAGGCTCAGGAAATTAGCCTGTGGGTATTCATAAGTCTGATTATTAAGAATAATGCAGGGCTTTGCCACTTATAAAGTGCTATAACTTCCATTATCTCATACTAAATTTTGGTTTTCAAGCAATTCTGTTATATGAACTGATAACTCAAAAAGAAAAGCATTTTGATAAGTGCTCTTTTTCCCACTGTTGAATCTAATGATAAATATCTGCCTTATAACCACAAAACTGCTACTGTAAGGTGCCACGAACACATGAAGAGCAAAGATCTAAGTGGATTCACTTATTCAGCAAATATTATTAAGCTTGTAATATGTGCTAAACGTTATTCCAGGTGCTGGGAGTACTACAGTGAGTAAAATGTTTAAAACTTCCCTACCCTAAGAGGGCTTACATTTTAGAGGGCACAAGCAGATAACTGACTAAGTCAATGAGTGAGATATAAAGCATGTCAGGTCATAAGTGTGAGCCAGCGAAATCAGGATGGGAAGGAGAGAAGGGAGCACCGGAAGCAGGGATTAAGTGGAGAGGGTGATATTTGAATGAAGACATAAAAATATGAAGACAAGTTTTTTGAATATATTGGAAAGAGCATTCCGGGTAGAAGGAACAGCTAATGCTAAGTCCTTGAGGCAGTGAATATATCCTTTGTTGTGTTTAAGGAACCCTAATGGTTAGCAATGTGGCAATTTTTCGTGGACTTATTTGCCATTCGTATGTCTTCTGTGGTAAAATATCTGTTCAAGTCTTTTGCCCTTTTTGGGTAACTCGTCGTCTTCTTCTCCTTCCTCCTCTCTTCCTCTTCCTCTCCTCCTTCCCTCTCCCCTTCTTCTTCTCTTCTCCCTCTTCCTCTCCCTCTCCTTCTCCTTCTCCCTCTCCCTCTCCCTCTCCTTATTGAGACAGGGTTTTACTCCCATTGTCCAGGCTGTAGTGCAATGGCGCGATCTTGGCGCACTGCAACCTCCATCTCCCAAGCTCAAGAGATTCTCCTGCCTCAGCCTCCCAGATAGCTGGGACTACAGACACACACCGCCATGCCCAGCTAATTTTTGTATTATTATTATTATTTTTTTTTTTGTAGAGATGGGATTTCACCATGTTGCCCAAGCTGGTGTTGAACTCCTGGGCTCAAGAAATCCACCTGCTTCGGCCTCCCACAGTGCTGGGATTACAGGTGTGAGTCACTGCACCCAGCCTAATTAAATTTTGAATATTTTATCCCTATCAATGACTTGTCTTTTCATTCCTCTAACGTTCTTAATTTTGATCAAGTCCAATTTATGTTTTCTGTCCTTCATAGATTGTTCTTTTGGTGTTACATCTAAGAAATCTTAGCTTTTGATTATTTTAAAAATTGATTTTCTCATCAAGTAAAAGAAAATGTACTTTCAAGTTCCTTTAAGTATATCTGTGTTACCTAGGCAACCAAGTTATTTATCAATAGGTGATCATTTGTAATGATTTGTTAATAAAGGAATTAGAAAATCTTGCTTTCCATGATCCTTAATCTACTTGCAAGACCTCATCCCCCTTAGTATAAGCTTATCCAAGGCCTACGGCCAACTTGGAAGAGAAGCAGGTGCGATTTTGTGGGGAAAACTTCCTGGGCCCTAGCAATAGGAGACTGAATTTTCTTTGTTCTGCTACTAATCAGAAGCTCAACTCTGGGCCAGTTGTATTCTCTTTTTTAGTTTACATTTCCAATTGCAAAAATAAGGAGTTGTACTAGATTTTTCTGTGCTCCTGTCTAGTCCTAATACTATATAAATGTGATATTGACAGTAAATTGAACATCTTCAGGAGGTCCAGGACTAGAGTCAGGCAAGAGCTGCGTCTAGAGCACAGCTTCTAAGAAGCTGTGCGTGGCTGGACAGGGTGGCTCACATCTGTAATCCAGCACTTTTGGAGGCCAAGGCAGGTGGATCACGAAGTCAAGACATTGAGACCATCCCGGCCAACATGGTGAAACCATGTCTCTACTAAAAATACGAAAATTAGCTGAGCGTGGTGATGCATGCCTGTACTCCCAGCTACTCGGGAGGCCAAGGCAGGAGAATCGCTTGAACCCGGGAGGCAGAGATTGCAGTGAACCGAGATCGTGCTGCTGCACTCCAGTCTGGTGATAGAGCAAGACTCCATCTAAAAAAATAAAAAAGAAAAAAAGAAAAAGAAAAATAAAGAAAAGAAAACAAAAAGCTGTGTGCTCTCAGGATTGTCCAAATTTTCATTCTGCATTTACACAACCCTAACAAGGAACCACTTGCAAGACACTGGGAATGAGGGCCTCCATGAATTTTATGCCCTCCATAATTCTCTTGCCGTATCCTAGTTCTGGTCCTGACCTTCATTGAGATAAGTGGGCATGACCCACGAGGGGGCTGTGATGAACTGGCACAGGGCGTCTTGCATTTGAGTATGCATTCGAGTCCCCTGGGAATACTGTTCATTCTCATTCAGAGGGTCTGGTATGGGGCTTGCGATTCTGCCTTTCTAACAAGCTCCCAGCTGATGCTTGTGCTGGTGCATGGGCCACATTTTTCATATCAAGGAACTAGAATGTGCCAGCTTTGTCCAAAAAAGCAACTCACCTTCATCCATGTGGGAATTCAGTCGCCAGAGTGCTTAGTGTCTTTTGTTTTGTTTTGTTTTTGGGACATAGTCTTGCTCTGTCACCCAGGCTGGAATGCAGTAGTGTGATATTGGCTTACTGCAGCTTTTGACTCCCAGGCTCAAGCAATTCTTGTGCCTCAGCCTCCTGAGTAGCTGGGAATACAGGTGCACGCCACCATGCCCAGCTAATTTTTGTATTTTTAGTAGACACAGGGTTTCACCAAGTTGGCCAAGCTGGTCTTGAACTCCTGACCTCAAGCAATCTGCCCACCTCAACCTCCAAAGTGCTGGCATTACAGGTGTGAGCCACCATGCCTGGCCCCAATGTCTTGATTAGTCAAAAGAGACACTAGAAATCTGTGATGTAATATGAAGTCTCTGAAAATGGGCAAAAAAATAGCAAGATCTCAGAATAAATTTAACAACAAAGTCAACATCCCCGTCCCCACCCCAGAAATGTTAGCCTGAAAAAGGATGTCAGAGTTAGACTCAATTTCATTTCTCAGGGTGTCCTTGCTTGAGTTGACATGCAGTGATGGATCAGTGGCTCACCTATTCTCCTCTTCCATCCTTTTTGCCCACTGTGTCTCCACTAGTAACTTTCATCTTTGTTTTTCAGCATATCTCCCCTTCTTTTTCTTCACTCCCCAGCTCCTTACATGCCTCAAAGCTTCTCTGGAGTAGACAGCTGTTTCCTTTGTCAGCCCAGCATCCATTTGCTCTCCTTCTGGCATCAGCCTGTTTTGTTTTGAAGGTTTATTCTCTCCCACGTTCAGCTCATGCGATTCAAACCAGACTGCACCTTCCTGCACCCATGGCTCCAGTAGGAACCAGGCCCAAGTTGGTCAATCAGGGTATTTATTCTATCACCCCAGCTCCAGTGACTGACTGAGGAACGAGCACAGTACCCACGCAGGATGGATTACCTTTCTAGCCCAGCCTGAGTTATTGGGAAGAGGGAGCCCTTTCCCTTGGAATTGGTAAATTGGCAATAACAATACCTAACACTTACTGCATGTTTACTCTGTACCAGGCACTGCTTTAAGAACATGCTTTTACATGAATGATCTCTTTAATCTTCACAACAATCCTGTTTTGTATGTACTTTTATTGTCATCATTTCACAGATGGGGAAATTGAGGCACAGAGAGGCTAAAGAGAAGCGCCTGAAGCCACACAGCTTGCAAGCGGTGGAGCTGGGATTTGAACTTGTCAATCTGGCTGCAGAGCTGAGCTCTTGGAGACTAGGTTATACTGCCTAGTAGCATGTAAGCCTGGAGCTGCTGGCAGGCATTTTGTAAGTCTGCAGAGTGAACCTCAATGAGCATGAGGCAGAGAGGAAGGCAGTACTGAGAGATGCAAAAAAGTCTGCGTTCCAGCAAGGGAATCTGAAGTCCTGGATCAAACCTTACCTGGTGCCAAGATTTACCAATCAGACATGCCAATTGTAAGACCCAAATTTACCCTTTTGGGGGGATTGAGTTTGAATGAGTATTTTTGTTTGTTTGTTTTGTCATCAGAAAGATTCCTGATTAATACACAGTATGACCTTGACCAAGATGCTTCATTTCTCTAGGACTCAATTTTCTTATCTGTAAAGGGTTCATCAACATTCGTTGGTTGAATCTTACCTGAAACATTTTTTTCAGTCTTCATCAATCTCATCTAAGCCTTTGTTTCCATAGAACAAAGCCATTTAAGGAAGGAGGGGGAAGTGTCATGGAGTCTTACTGTCCTGAGTGCAAATACGGTCTCTGTATTGTCCTTATCTGTTCATTTTTTGCCTCTCAGTACTAGAATGAAAACTCTAGAAGCGGAAGGAATTTTGTCTGTTTTCTTACTGTTGTATCCTAAATGTTTTGATTTTCATATATCTGTATATATATTTGTTAAATTAGTGAAGAAATCCTTATACGTCTTTATGGATAACAACCTGGTTTGGGCATGGTTTGCAGTCATGGGTCCTTCCTTTCGTGCGGGAGTGGTTACGGATGGTATTTGTTCCTCTCCGCTTCGTAATTCTCTCGTCCATTTTTGACTTCATGGACAGGAACAATAGATGAAGAAAATGGAATCGTCTCTGAACAAAACACAGGGTTTTAATGCCTCTTAAATCCTGTAACATATTATCACTTCTAAACTCACAGTAAGCAGTTAAGTTCTCATGACGGGTGAATTTCCAGTTTCAAATGATATAAGAGAGGACTGTGTCTTACTTTCCTTTCTATTTTACGTATATTTCAATATCTTAGTAGAGCTATTACCTGAAATTGATCCCCCAGCATTAGGAAACAGGATGTTGCTGACACTGTGATGTGCTATTATATAATGTACCATTATTTGTCATGTTTGTTGTGACGTCCAGCCCAAGCTTCTCTCTTGCAAATAAACCTCATTTTTGTTTTGGGCGGCAGTGTGCTCAGATCCAGGCAATAATAATAACCATAGTAGGCCTGGTGCGGTGGCTCATGCCTGTAATCCCAGAACTTTGGGAGGCCGAGGCGGGTGGATCACCTGAGGTCAGGAGTTTGAGACCAGTCTGACCAACATGGAGAAACCCCGTCTCCGCTAAAAATACAAAATTAGCTGGGCATGGTGTTGCATGCCTGTAATCCCAGCTACTCAGGAGGCTGAGGCAGGAGAATCGCTTAAACCTGGGAGGTGGAGGTTGCGGTGAGCCGAGATCATGCTATTGCACTCCAGCCTGGGCAATAAGAGCGAAACTCCATGTCAAAAAAAAAAAGTAATAAAATAAAATAAAATGACTATAGTAGCTATAACTTGAGTATTTTTTCCTATGTTTTAGGCACTCTTCTAAACCAGAAACATGCATTTTATGTATTTGATATATGAAGGCATGGACTGGGATTAGGATCGGCCAGTCATGCTGTCACTGACCCCGAATTCCAGGCAGCTAAGTGAGGCCATGATGTTCCCCTGCCCAATAAGAGGCTATGCAGCGGGTGGACGGAAGAAGAAGTGGGCTTTGCTTCCAGCTTTGCAATCTTGGAGAATTTATTCAGTGTCTCAATAGCTAAGGTTTTTGTTTTGTTTTGTTTTGTTTTTCTTTTCTTAAATCTCTGAAAAGGGGTTAATAATACCTCACAGAGTTGTTGCAAAGATTAAATGAGCTAACGCCTGTCACACTTAGAAAAATGCTTGACCAGTGCTTCTCAACTGAGACAAGTCTGCCTCCCAGGAGACATTTGACAATGTCTGAAGACACTCGTGGTTGTCACAGCTAGGGTGGGAGTGGGGCAGGTGCTTCTGGCACCTAGTGAATGGAGGCCAGGGATGGTGCTAAACATTCTACAATGTACAGAACAGACCCTACCACAAAGACCAATCTGGTCCCTAGTGTCAATAGTACAAAGTGGGAAATCATGGCCTAGACCTTAATAAACACTCAGAATATGGGAGCTCCCTGAGGGCTGCCTAGAACATAACCTCCAGAATAGCAGACAGAGATGTTGCTTTTTCCCCTGTCCTATCCCTGGAGCTTAGATCAGTGCTTGGCACATAGTAGTTTCTCAGTAAATATGTGTTAAATGAATGAATGATAGATACAATGACCCTTGGAAAATTTTTGCTGTCATGACTATTTCATCCTCCTCTGGTTTCATCCTACTTTGGTCTCAGTCATGATAAGTTGTTACAGGAGCCATTTACCACCATGGTACCCAACGTGCTGATGGAAGAGGCAAAGGCTAGAAGGACTCTGGGCCTCTGATGACCTTGTCAGCCACTGCACTGGCCTGGACTACCTGATGCCAAGGTTTTCAGCCTATAAAAAAATGGCTCCCTGTTTGTTAGACCACTATTATACAGGTGTCTGTGACATGCAGACAAAGACATTCATAACTAATAACCAGAAAGGACCACATCTTCTCTTAGGTTTATGACATAAATTTACTGTCTCAAACCCACTGAAGGAAACAACCCCATTGGTTAGTTCACTTCCACAGGCTCTGCTTATCATCAGATATGCTGAAATTAAATTTTTTGTATTTGGCAACTATGCTCCAATATTTAAATACCAACACTAAATACTCTAACAAAAGTGGAAATATCGTACCACGTTTTGGAAGTGCTTGGCAGCTAACAAACTTATCCTGGCATAAATTCTAGGAAGTTGTCTTAATTTTCAAAATTACTCATATAAAGAAGACATACATGCGGCCAACAAGCATATGAAAAAAAGCTCAATATCACTGATCATTGGATAAATGCAAATCAAAACCACAAGGAGATACTATCTCACACCAGTCAGAGTGGCTATGATTAAAAAGTCAAAAAATTTGAGATGCTGGCAAGATTGCAGAGAAAAGGGAATGCTTAGGCACTGTTGGTGGGAGTGCAAATTAGTTCAACTACTGTGGAAAGCAGTGTGGCTATTCCTTAAAGAGCTAAAAACAGAACTACCATTGGGCTGAGCCATCTCATTACTGGATATATACCCAAAGGAATATAAATCCTTCTGCTATAAAGACATATGCACACGTATGTTCGTTACTGTTCTATTCACAATAGAAAAGACATGGAATCAACCTAAATGCTCATCAGTGATAGACTGGATAAAGAAAATGTGGTACACACACACCATGGAATACGATGCAGCCTTAAAAAGAATGCGATCACGTCCTTTGCAGGAACATGGATGGAGCTGGAGGCCATTATCCTTAGCAAACTAATGCAGAAACAGAAAACCAAATATTGCATATTCTCCTTTGTAAATGGGAGTTCAATGATGAGAATGCATGGACACAAAGAGGGGAACAATGCACCCTGGGGCTTATTTGAGGGTGGAGGATGGGAGGAGAGAGAATAGCAGACAAAATAACTATTGGGTACTAAGTTTAGTACCTGGATGACAAAATAATCTTTACAACAAACCCCCATGACACAAATTTACCTATATAACAAACCTGCACATGTACCCCTGAACCTAAAATAAAAGTTTTAAAACGTTACTGATATATTTAATGCATGTTTGTTGAAGGCTTTAAGATAGGTCCAAGATGGGGCAGGGAGTAGGGTATAACAAGAAGAAAACAGAGCTAAGTTCAGTTCTCTGTCGTTATAAAACTGACAGGCTGAAAGGAAATGTGGATCTGAAATTACCAGGGCCGTGAGTGTCATGAATAAGCACAGAGGTCTAAACAACACTTACTGGGAGTCTCTAAGCTTAGGAGACCAAGCTAAGGAAGCTTAGGAGACTAGTCCTAAGTCAGGAAGTCTCTAAGCTAGTCCTAAGTCAGGAGGGGACTTTGCTGAGAAGGTGAGATCTGCATTACAATGTCAAGAGGCAGTATGAGACAGTGGTTATTAAGGCTCTGGGGTAAGATTATGAAGTTTTTGTTTGTTTGTTTGAGATAGGACCTCTGTCATCCAGGTGGGAATGCGGTGGTGGGATCATATCTCACTGCAGCCTCAAACTCCTAGGCTCAAGCCATCCTCCTGCCTCAGCCTCTTGAGTAGCTGGGACCACTGGCATGAGCCACCACACCTGGCTAATTTTTTTTTTTTTAATTTTTAAAATTTTGTGTGGAGATGGGGGTCTCACTATGTGTTCCAGGCTAGTCTTGAACTCCTGACCTCAAGTACCCCTCCTGCCTCAGTCTCTGAAAGTGCTATGATTACAGGTGAGAGTATGAGCTTTTGAATTTCCCTATTACCTATTCCTAGATGGATGATCTTGAGTATTAATTGCCAAAAGGCTTGATACCCTATTTATTAAAATAATACTTCATAGGGTTAGTGTGAAAATTAAATTGGATAATAGTGTAAACTTGCTGTAAGCTTCAAATATTATAAGCCGTCAAGAAGTGTTAGGTTTATAATTATTAAAAATTCACAGCTGGGTGCAGTGGCTCACACCTGTAATCCCAGCACTTTGGGAGTCTGAGGCAGGCAGACCACGAGGTCAAGAGACCGAGACCATCCTGGCAAACATGAGGAACCCCCATCTCTACCAAAAATACAAAGAATGAGCTAAGTGCTGTGGCGCACACCTGTAGGCCCAGCTACTAGGGAGGCTGAGGCAGGAGAATTGCTTGAACCAGGGAGCTGGAGGTTGCAGTGAGCTGAGATCGCGCCACTGCACTCCAGCCTGGCAACTGAGCCAGACTCTGTCTCAAAAAAAAAAAAAAAAAAAAAAAAAAAAAAAAAAAAAAATCACCAAGGGGAGGAAGGATAAAAAGCAGGGGCATGCACAAACTTATTTTATGATTTGTCAAAACTTGTTTCTAATTCGTTCCTTGCAGGTTACATCATCTGGAGACTGAGAACTTGAGATGCTCCCTGTTCGTCCAAGCATTTGAGCAAATCCAGTGTCCTTTTTGAGCAAAATATGAGCCCCACCTTTAGAATTTGTGAATCTCCCCTTCAGATGGGAAAGCTTTTTTGTGGCTGAAATTAGAAACAGCCCAAATGTCTATGAAATGATGAATGGATAGATAAAATGTGATATACCAACACAATGGAAAAGTATTTGTCAGTAAAAAGGACTGAAGTCCTGATACATACTCCAACATGAATAAATCTCCAAAACATCATGCTAAGTGAAAGGAGCCAGACACAAAAGACCACGTTCTGTGTAATTCCATTTATATAAAATGGCAAAAAACCAAATTCATAAAAACAGAAAATAGATTCCCATTAGTACCTAGATTTGAGGGTGAAAAAAATTAACTGCATCATCTTTTTGGAGTGATGAAATATTCTCTAATGGATGATTGTAATAGTTGCACAACTTCTTAAATTTACTAAATATCATTGAAATGAATAAATTTTTATGTTGCATATATTATATCCCAATACA